CCAATACAGCCTTGTACAATGTAGTCATGTATACCACCTTGTATAATGCTTATAGTTAGGCAAATCATAAAGTTACAGAAAACCCTGCACATGTTGCCAGTGTCGAATCACTTTTCACTACTTATGTTCTTTGGGGCCATGCGCCGATGCCATTTCACTATATACTCGGCTTCATTCAGTATATACTCGTCGTCTACTGGTAAAACTTAAAATCTTCGTTTTTGTTTAAAATATATGCAACTGAATGTTTTACAAACTTTCTCAACAGTATGGAAAAACACATCGGGCCGTTGAAATGTCATTATTACGTTTTTTAACGTCCGATACATTCTGTTACAAATGGCATATATTTTATTCAAATTGTCAATATGGAAATCCACCTGCCACTTAATGTCAATGATGTTCACGTGCAAGTCACTCTATCCATGGAACGTGGAGGGCAATACACATGCATTGATGCATTTCACTGTCGTTGACCGTTCAGGTACCTGTTTGAAATCGCAGCTTAAAGTCAGACATTGCTGAAAGGAGTCAAGCTATAGACCTTTTGGAATCTGGTCAAACTCAGCGGCAGGTTGCTGTCCGCTTGAGGTGAGTCAGAAAGCCATTGGTAGACTGTGGCAGATATTTCAAGCCAATGGGTCCGTGGAATATGCACGTTGACCATGTCGCCCCAGAGTCACAGTAGTCCGAGATGATAGGCACACGATTAACACTGCGCTTCGTAACAGATTCCTTAACGCAGCAGATCTTCTGACAGAACACTTCAATGTTAAAAATGTAAGGATATCCAGGAGCACCGTTCGTCGACGTTTAATGGCAGCCGGACTCCGCTGCAGGCGACCTGCAGTTAGTCCACCACTAACACCACGTCACGGGCAGGCGCGCTTTAGATGGAGTAGACATCATGGCCGCTGGAATCAACGTCAATGGTCTTGTGTGCTCTTCAATGATGAAAGCAGATTCAATTTGTCCTTCCATGATGGTCGGCAGAGGATTTATCGTCGCCAATGGAGAGCGAATCACAGATGCAACTGTGGCCACGCTTAACGATTTGGCGGGGGATCGGCCCGGGCTTTGGCAGGGATAATTCCTTCTGGATGTACTCAACTTTACGTGGTCGTTGGTAATCTTACCGGACAACGTTATCGGGACGAGATTCTGGCTCCTATAGCAGTACCATTCCTGCAAGTCATGGTACCCTCTTTACTGCAAGAAGACAAGGATTGGCCTCATAGCCCCAGGTTTGTCACGGAATTCCCTAGGCAGCAGGGTGTAGAGCAGATGGAGTGGCCAGCATACTCGCCAGACATCAACCCAACTGAGCATGCCTGGGATGAACTCGGTCGTGGCAACATTCCATCACATTCCATCGGTCGTGTGTACACGCGTCCCCCAGAGCCAGTGGATCTCCAGGACTCCGCAGAGCTCTAGTATAGGAATGGAATGCAAGTCCGGTAGCTTTCCTTATGAAGTTGAAAAGGAAAATGAGAACAAGGTGCACCTATATCTTGAACGCGCGAGGAGGGTGCACAAGATATTGAATGACTGAGTGCTTCATGTTTGTCATTTTCATTTTGGGGGGTTGGTCTATACAACTGATGTTTGATTGTGCTGTTTGAACTTTTTGTCTGTTTGTCACGATATGTCACATTTGTCAACACATTAAACATTATGATGACACTCTCAATTCTAATACTTCTGAGAAACTTTTCATTAGATGTGCTATATATCATTTGACCCTTATTTATGCCGCCAAGTATACTTCCATGTTTATCCATTTAAAAACGATGCCTGATACACCGCAATGAGTGGATGAGTTTAGTTTTACGCCGCACTCAGCAATGTTCTTGCTATATGGCGGCGGTTGGTAAATACTCGAGTCTGAACCAGACAATCTAGTGATCAACGTTATGAGTATCGATCTACGCAATTGTGATACGATGACATGTGTCAACCAAGTCAGGAAGCCTTCATCGCAATGAAGTACATATATAATAATATAAACGAGATGTGTGGTGGTGCTTTGCACTACAGAACGGTGAATTTGATGGTGTTCAATGAAACTAGTTACAGTATTACAGAGATTCTGTACCTTTCTGTGCTTAGTTGCGTCCCTTGATCGTATTGTAGGATACACTGAGCATGTTTCCGACTGACCGACAGGCGGTGGATGAGAGAGAGAAATTGTTTATTGTATTCTCACCCAACACATTTACAAATAGGGGCGGTGGGGTAGCCTAGCTAGTGGTTAAAGCGTTGGCTCGTCACGCCGAAGACCCGGGTTCGAATCCCCACATGGGTACAATGTGTGAAGCCCATTTCTGGTGTCCCCCGCCGTGATGTTGCTGTAATATTGCTAAAAGCGGCGTAAAACCAAACTCAGTCAGTCAGTCATTTACAAATACATAAACAATGCTGCCTTAGGAAAATGCATTGGCCACCTAAAAAAGGTTATTAGAGAATTTTAAAACATAGTAGGCCATATCAAAATATAATTTTAAAAAAAATAAAATAAAATAAAATTTTAATAAATCGCTGTGGATGTTGTCCTACAGTGTTGCCGGACGTAAGTGAACTAATCTTCACACGATGAACACTGGGTGGTTATCAACACATACCAGAATATCTCTGTCAACGAGATTGGCACAAACATCCGTTGAATGTAGCAAGCATATCTAGGGGTCACTCCAGCTTCCGAATAGATGGGGATGTTGGAGAGTGCAGTATTTGCATCCTTGAAAGTACTTTCAGATAACTAGCCATTCGCTTGTTGGGACTATCTTGCATTCCAATGCAGATATTGTTGCTTAATCTTGAGACAAGAATAGAATGAACTGCACCTCTAAACGGGGAAAGGCATCCAACAATGATTAACGTTTATACAATGCGCCGGCGGCTGCTGTTGTCGGGATCGGGAGCAGCTTCATCATAGCTTTAGAGCTGGCTCACTTACTGATGTGGTGTATGCGTGCCTGGGATGGTACATCAACCGCAGGCATCAGGCTTGGACAGTCACATGCGATGGATACGTCCAGGTTGCCCAAGCTCACAACCACGCTAACATACGAATGAATGAATGAATGAATGAGTCTGACGATAAAACGTAATATTAATCACCGGATTGTCTGGTCTAGACTCAGTGATACACAGAACAGCGTAATGCAGTTGGAATAATTGAGTTGGGCATTACTGGTCACACAAACAGACGTGTGGGTGCGCAGACTGATTTCACAATCGTTACGACTACATATACCATTGGTATAAGACGTCATTAGAGCACATTAGAGTGTTAGAGCACGTAATTAGCCTTTAGCTTTCATTTCTATTGGGTTCGAAGAGTGTACTACCCCGCTCGATACGTGACATTTACCTGTGTAACACCGATAATTACAACCACGCCTTATTGACGTTCCTTTCAGTCATCTACACAACACTTCAGGTAATGAATAAATGACGTCACCATGGTATTTGGACATGTGTTATACTGGCAAGGGCGAGTGACTGGAGTATGGTTTTCCGCCCCGGAAATCAATCTTTATTTCATACTGAAAAGCCACAGGCCTGTAGTACATTGATTAATCATGTGCGGGTAGTAGAGCATTCTTTCGGAGAATAAAAGCTTTATGGATATATATGGACAATCTTTCTATATGTGTTTTACTGGAATTATTCATCAATGATATAAACTTATGCATTTCAGGATGTACTTAATAATATTTCTTTATATATCTATTTCTTAACGGTAAGTATGCTGGGCAAACACATAAAAAGTGAAACTCATCTTCGACCTCGTGTAAGTTGCACATTTGGCAGATTCTACTTTCTTTCTCAATACCTTGGTATCTCCCAGTTTCAACATATAAATCATGCGCGGAGCAGCGGAATCTCGCCAATGAAGATTTATATTTCCTTATGGTCAAGACTGAAAGATAATGTTCTGCATATATGGAATCTTTTATCATTTTGTAGTAAAAACATTTATTAGATAATGAGAGACTAGTTAACCAATTTTGAAGGAATATATCTTTAAGTCTTTGTTTAACTGTACAGACAAAGTGAGAATGAGATTCTACAAATTGTTCATGCCAGGCATTGCCGAAGCCGATAGATGATAATAACTGTTTTATGTCTGTTACCCATTACGTTTCCCATGGCTATCATATAGTATCATCATTTCATAACATTTTCTTGGCAATCTGTGTGAGGGCATTGTTAATAATTTCAACCAATATCTAATAATTTTTACATTTGATTCTATATACAATGGATATCTTCCACATTCTCCGTAGACCATACAAGTTGACGTGGCTGTTTTACGCCCAGAAATTTCTTGCATGCATACAAATTGACTTTTCTATGACATCAAAAGTTTTAAAACCCCATACTTCTGCACCATATAACAAAATTGGGTATATTTTGGCGTCAAATATTTTGAAAAAGACTTGTAAGACAAGTCGCCTAAAATATGTATATATTTTTTTATTATACCTATTAATATTTTCTTTGCTTGTATAGCTGCCTGTGATGTGTGTACTGCCCATGAAAGATGATTGGTAAAATGCACGCCTAAGTATTTATACGAAGTGGTTGTTTCCAGTCTATTTCCCTTGAAGAACCATGTTTCATTATTGGCTAGCTTACCTCCATTTTTAAAAACAGCTATCTTTGTTTTAGCCTGGTTTACAGTTAGTTTCCATTTATCACAATAATTCTCTAGTTCAATAATTTCTCTTTGTAGGCCTTTAATTGTGCTTGAAAACAATATGATGTCATTAGCAAATAGTAACAGGAATATTTGCATTATATCTGGATGTAATTGGATACCGTTTGAACAGTTTTCTTGGATTTGGGTTGCTAGTTCATTTATGAAAAATGTAAATAGAAAAGGGCTTAATATACAGCCTTGTCTGACTCCTAATTGGCTCGGAAATGTATCTGATAATTCATTATTACTCCTTACACAAATTTTCACATTTGCATATATGCATATAGAAAAATCTACAAATAAGACATAGAATTTTTGTCCCTTTTGATTAAGATATTTCTGAATAATAGAATGTAAAACAAATATGTTATCAATAGTAGTGTATCCCTTCCTAAAGCCAACTTGTGATTCTGTTATCTTGTCTAGAGTATCTGCCCATTTAACTAACCTCTTATTTATGGTAGATGTAAATATTTTGCTAAATATGCTTAATAACGTTATGCCCCTATAATTTTCAGGATTGTTTACGTCTCCGTTCTTATGTATAGGAACTATTATGCCAGTGGACCAGGATTTTGGGAAGTATCCCTTTTCCAAGATGATATTAAATATCAGTTCTAAGAGTGGCAATAGTAAATCTGTAGAGTGTTTAAAAAATTCAGAGATGGTAGAGTCTATACCAGAAGATTTATTAGCTTTTAAGTTTGTGATACTATGAAGTATTTCCTCCTTAGTAATTGGTGAGTCAAGAATATCTTCTACGGAGCTTGGACTAAAATCAGAACAATCAGAATTGTTCACTTCTGTGTCAGACTGGTCACGTAATGCACTGTCATTATCCGAGTGGGAGAACAGGTCACTGAAATAATTGTACCAATCTTCAATTTGTATATTATTTCGCGAATGCGCTTGTCCGTTTATTTGTTTCAGCATAGACCAGAATGTTTTTGAATCATTTATACAATTCTCTAATTTTTGTTGTTTTACCTTAAAATATTCATTTCGCTTTTGTCTACAAAGTGCATGGTATGCATTCCTACCGTGGTGGTATTTTTCTAAAGTGTCTGCGTCTTTCGATTTCCTAAATTTGTTTAAATATCTACATCTTTCTTTTTTAAGTTTCCTGCATTCAGTATCGTGCCATGGATTTTCATATTGTCTACTGGTGTGATTTATTTTTTTCATGTCGCTAGCAGCTATGCAAAGAGCTTCAGTTATCAAATCAACACTTCTATCGATCTCAGTAAATGCTGAATCCAGAGACTCACTAAGTAGTCCTTGTACATTGTCTGAAAGAATATTTTGTCTAAAGTGGTCTAATTTATCCTGTTCCCAAATAAATCTAAAGGATTTCTTTTCATTGTTTTGGGGGTACATATACCCATATGAGTGAAGCGCACGTAAACACAAAGTAAGAGGTAGATGGTCAGATTCTGTGCGGGACGGGATTGAAAAGTCACGAACACTGTCAAACAGTGATGACGACGCTATAGCATAGTCTACTAAACTCGTGCCATTAGCACCAATATAAGTAGAATCACCTACTTCAGCATCCGATCCACATCGACCATTCATTATGTGGATATTTAATACAGAGCACAAATTGAGAAGGCACTTCCCAAAATTATTTACAATTTTATCAGTAGAAAATCTCTTAATGTTAAAATAGTCTATAAGAAAATCCCACATTGAGCTTTCTCCACCTTCTGTGTATTCAAGTCTAGGTCTGTACCTGTACGGGCGTTAAAATTCCCTCCGCACAAAATATGTACATCTTGCATATTACACAGTAAGTCCAGTAAATTATCTTGAAATAAAGTGATACCATTTTTACAAAGTAGACCAGCTTTGTTGTAATACGTGGATCCCTGTGGGTGTATATAGGCACAGGCATATAACACATCAATGTCCAGTTTAAAGAGAATCTTATCAAAGATGAGAAAAACACAATTTTCCGTAATTTTAGACCACAAAATTTACTTCGTCAAATGATGTTTTATCATCACCACTATCCCACCAGAGAGTCTGCCACCTATAGAGATCCTTTCTGCCGGTTTGTTAATTATGTCATAGTCTGGAAACACATGTTCAATATTATCATCAGAGGTCCATGTTTCAGTTAGACCAACAATGTCAAACTGCCTTATAAATTTTACAAAATCAATATCCCATAACTTGCTTGATATACCTGCAATGTTCCAGAAAATAAAGTTAACATCATTTTTAATGTCAGTTGCTTTATCAGTCTCATTGGGATTTTTGTGATGCGTCGTAAAATTACCCTGGCCTAACCCCTATCTCCTCTGCCCCCTGTCCGGAGGGTGCGGGCTTGACCTCAGTCGCCGACGCTTGTGCTGTTCCCCGGGAGCTCTAACCCTGTCTGTGGGTGTTGACTGGTCATCACGATTAGAATTCTCCTTGGGCTCCCTGACAAGTGTATTCCCCCTTATAATAGTATCTTGTGTCAGGGTTCTCCGCCCGTAGACGATGTAGCTCCTGTCGTTGGTATTTGGTCAAGTCGTTGGCTATGCCGTAGCCATCCTCTCGTAGCACCTCCCGCATCTTTAAAGAGTGCCATTTATCTTCCCAATTATGGGTCTGACCTTATCCTGTTTTGGGGGAGATAGTCTGTGGGCTCTTTCAATATCTCTGGGGGTGAGGGGCTGTAATTTCTTAACTTCTCTTGCCTTGTTGAGAATCTCGAGAACTTTTTCCTTACTCTCTCTGTGTAGGTTTCCCGTGTTGACTCTGGCACCCCATATATTACCATGTTGTTGCGTCGACTTCGTTCTTCTTGATCTTCAAGTCGTGATTCTAGATGGTCACAATAACTCTCCATTTTATCAAACTTTTCAGACAGAGCATCTACATCTAACCTAAGCACTTCTTGTTCCTCCTTATGGGATATAACCTCTGTCTTTAAGTCACTTACTTCCGCCTTTATTGATCTAATGTCATCTTTCACTGAGTTTATATCTCTCGACAGTCTATCCTCGGAGTCCTTGATTTGGCTAATTATTTGACTAATTATGGCCTTTCTCATATCCTCTAGGTCTTTGCTAGTGTGTCCGGGCCCGGGGTTAAGTTCAATATCACCCGCCCTGTGTACCATTGATGGTACATACGTTGACATTGATAAGGCAACTTTGATCAGATTGACCGGTTTTCGGTATGTCAACAAACATGTCGACGTGGCAGTGGACACCTCACAAATCTCGCCTTTCATACACAGTGTTGGTGGGCGGAATTAAGGACAGGGCGTTCCTCTCTGCACATGTTGCTGTAAGTGTGCCGAGAGAGCTCACAAGAAGCATTAAAGTACCACATAACAATAGTCTATATATCATGTCCATACCTGGCGTAAAATGAAGTCAGTTATATGTAATAAAATTAATACATGTCTGAGGTCACCGTGAGGATCCTGGTTAGAACACACACAAGCAAAACATGCTTGTCGTAAGAGGCGACTAACGGGATCAGGTGGTCAGGCCCGCTGACTTGACTGACACATGCCAATGTATACCAATTGCGTAGATCGATGTTCATGCTGTCAATCACTAGATTGCCTGCTCCAGACTTGATCATTTACAGAAAAGCGACATATAGCTGGAATATTGCTGAGTGCGGCGTTAAACAACAACAAGCATGCCTAAACCACACCCAATGGTCACCTGATGTAAGCCTATACACGAGGGCCTGATATAGTGGTGGAGCCCCTATGTCACAGAATCAGTACCGTTATTAATGCCAATGTCCTACGCGAGCGTGACCACCTAGTCGGGTCGGGTCGCCTCGTAAATTAAGCATTGTTTGCTGGGGACCAGTTAAAGCCTTCAATTCCCACGAGAAGAAGGGGCAGGTACATTAACTGCGTATCAAGCATTCCTCCGTCGAAACCTAATCCCCTTGAAGAACGCCCTCACGGCCTCCACTTGATAGAGGAGCTTACACTATTTAGGTATGTACTCAACACACGAGCGGAATGAGGAAGCTAATGTTATGATTCAGCGCAACCAAATTTGTGTTGACAGTTGTAGTCCAGTCTGCCGGGAATAACATAGGCATGTTTTGGTTTGGGTCTCACAGAATGTTTATAAAAGATTTCATCGGACGTGACAGGCAAGCGTTGTTTTCAAACACTGTCACGTTGTAGAGCTTTCAGCAGCGTCACCTTATACACCCTGTTCACCATCGTCGATTCAAAATCAGTGTCCCCTGGGCCTATTGGGATACGTTTCACTAAATGGTTTCTAAATTAATTGAATCTCTAACTCGTCAACGCTCGTTGAACATTTAAAACATCTATAGGCTTTGTATTGCCCTCGTTGGTCAGATTACCTAGTTTTAATAAGAAGTAACAAAAATGATTTTTATAAGTATGTGTCTGAGCTACGTGAAACCAGCCGTCAGCGATATATTTCCGAAGGTTATAAGTAACCTTGCTCTTCTTGAATATAGATGTCGGATTAACAAGACAAAAAATAATTAAGTCGTCACCTCGAAGACCCGGGTTCGATTCCTGAAATCGGCCCAATGTGTGAAGCCCCTATCTCGTGTCCCCCACCGTGATGTTGCTTACAATTGCTGAAATGGCTCGATCACTGAAATTTGAACATATTCTCTGTACGCGGAGAGATTGGATGCTGTGTGGTTTACAATGTCATCGTGCGGTCTTACTATTCCCCGAGAGGGGCGGTGGGGTAGCCTAGTGGTTAAAGCGGCCGCTCGTCACGCTGAAGACCCGGGTTCGAACCCCTACATGGGTACAATGTGTGAAGCCTATTTCTGGTGTCCCCCGTCGTGATATTGCTGGAATATTGCTAAAAGCGGCGTAAAACCATACTCACTCACTCCCTCCCCGAGAAGTTACCCCGTGATACCAGAATCAACCGAGTTGACGCGAACTGTTTGTGTCCACTCCAACCAAACATCGCGATAATATTGACGGACATGTCAGACACAGACACAGACACACGATGAGGTTTGTTTGTCGTTTAACGCCGCATTACTCCAGCTACATGTATGTTTATTGTGAACTGATAGTCGTTATCAACACTGCATTCCACATAATAGATAAACCGCATTGTAAGTAAACACCCCATTTAATAACAACACATGCACGTTCCTGACATGTATGAATACATACTGCAACCAACGTGTAAGATGTAGTTTGGACATGGTAAACCCTTTCATAATGCTGGTCACATACAGAAGAAGACCACCGTATCTCTGACAGTCTTAAGTCTCTGTCAAAGTATGGGAGTTACGATCACCTTTGCGCTGCGATCGCTTTGTGGAACGGGCCCATGGTTTTACTCAGCCTGTTATCTTTGAGAGAAAAAAAACAGTTAATTAACATGTATATATGAATGTCTGTGTAGAGTTTGTGGGGATCAGGCTAAAACGGCCCCATGACAAAACGGCCCCAATTTTGCTTGGCCAAAACGGCCCCGGTGCAAAACGGCCCCGATGTTGCAATCAACTATGTTGCTTGAAATGACCCCGTACAATTGCAAAAAAAAAACGTG